CACAAAAGCAGGACCCTGGTTGAAAGAATGTAACTTAACGCTTATTTTATATTCACAAATTATGAATAGTGTTTTCGCAATTTTACAAAAGCAGGACCCTTCACAAAATGCCTGGACAGACCCCTGGCTTTTTATGCATGGTTCTATTTTTTTCATGCTGAAATAAAATTAAAAAAATAACTTTTTTTTTTATAATTATAAAATAAATCATAAAATTGTAAGTATTTTTGAAGAAGAAAAGAACAATTCTGAATTATTTTTTGTCTTCCAAACCCTGCCCCGCACTCGTGAAAAATTACTGAGAAATATATCAAAAGTTATGACAGTATTTACCTAAGATGATTGAGTTTCGGGTTGAAAAGAGAAAAAAAACGAACATTTCATCAGCTTCGTAGCGATTCATGAATATTAATACAAAAGATAAGTGAATCCTTCTAAAAGTAGTTAAGATATCGTTATTAAGAATAATAGTTAACGGCTCAAATGAATATTTTATGAGGTTTCCACTAAGAAACCCTTTTTGGGTAAAACCAAATAAAAGAAAAGTAATTGCCTTTATTGTTTTCGTGGTATTAGAATATACGTATGTACGCTTTTGGCATAGTTACTGCTTTTTATATACAATAAATATATCGTATATCGCCTGCAGCCAATCTTCTTGGTCATTCTACTGACATGACCATTATGGAGTTGTTAAATTATGTAAATTATTGAATATAAAAGTCTAAGTAAGGTTTTGTTTTTGTGTAGATTAAATAAAACGTAAACTCATGGTAAAAATATCAAACGAACAATAAAAATATTTTTAAATTTAAAGCATATTTATTGATTATATTATATATTGAAATACTAGCAGGGGTCTGTCCAGACATTTTGTAAAAGATCCGTTTTTGTAAAATTGTGAATAAATTACTCGTAATTTGTAAATATAAAGTAAACGTTAAATCACACTCTTTCAACCAGGGTCCGCTTTTGTGAATTTGTGCAAATAGGGTCTTGTTATTGCAAAAAAAACTTTTTCAATGAGTTTTTAAATTGTAAAGACATACAAGATGATGCTCAACAATGTAAAATTATAATGAAAAAAATTAAGTTTTAAAAAATAAACAGCAATTGCAGCTACTAAATTAGCGATGCAACTTATAAATATTTGGTATTTAACCTATACTACTGAACGCAGAATATTCATTTCGGACGAATAAAGGAAGAAGCATCCGCCGAAGACAAAATTTAGTTCGTTTACATCTATCCTTCTTCCCCCATCCCTTCCTAGGAAGGGTTTATTCTATTAACAAAACAATAATGAAGGTAAACAAATTCGTGAAGGGTCCGATTATAAGATAAATTATTTTGTGTAGGGTCCGTTTTTAAGTTAAAATATTTTGTGAAGGATCCGTTTTTATGAAAAAATATTTTGTGAAGTGTCCGTTAACGGACCCAAATTTCTTCTAAACAGACCCCTGACCATTATGGAGTTGTTAAATTATGTAAATTATTGAATATAAAAGTCTAAGTAAGGTTTTGTTTTATGTAGATTAATTAAAATTTGAACTCATGTGAGAAAAATAAAAATATAATGAAATTACAAGCATATTTATTGTTTTCTAAGTATGTATCGAAATACTAATATTGTTTTATTTTATAATTAGCGTTGAATAGCCTACCCATTTTTAACATTTTAGTTTTGATCCCAATCCAGAAAACAACGGAACTCTTGGATCAAGCTCTCGCTCAAACTAGCCTTCGTGGCGGATTTTTTCTTGGAGCTAACACATAGCCGTGTTACATAGAGAGAAGAACCACAATAACCATCCACGGTTAGCCCGATGATAAGGGGATTCTAATCTATGATATGTCTACCACTGAGGATATTTTACGTGAGCACTGCCAGGGGTCTGTTTAGAAGAAATTTGGGTTCGTTAACGAACCCTTCACAAAATATCTTTTGGTATTTTGTTAATTGAATAAACCCTTCCAGGGCAGAAAACAAGAAAGATGGATGTAAACGAATTAAATTTTGTCTTCGGCAGACGATTCTTCCATTATTCGTCCAAAATTAATATTCTGCGTTCAGCAATATAGGCTAAATACCAAATATTTGTATGTTGCATCGCTAATTTAGAAGCAGCAATTTAAATGTTTTAATTATAGTTTTACAGTGCTGAGCATGATCTTGTATCTATTTACAATTTAAAAATTCCTTGAAAAAGTTTTTTTGCAATAACCGGACCCTATTTGCACAAATTCATAAAAGCAGGACCCTGTTTGAAAGAATGTGAGTAATTTTTTTACAATTTCTCAAAAACCGGACCTTTCACAAAATATCTGGACAGACCCCTGGCTGTAATCGGGGCGGATTGGGAGCAAAAATCCTATTGACCAGCCATAGCTGGGATTCGAACTTAAATCACATCATTGGGAGGCAAGCACTCTATCTCTCAGCCACTGTGACTTTTGAATTCCTGATTAATCAGGAGTTTCCTTTTCTTCTGCCTTTGGAGTGAAAATTATACAGTTTTGTAAAGTAAAGCTTACCCATAATTGCTCGTTGTGGTGGTCCTGTAAAATAAGGCTTCGCAATTTCGTGGCAAATTGTATGATAGTGGCAATGCTGTCAGCATCGCGAACAGGCTGCCTTTACTTCTCGGTCAAGCTGGTTCCTATCAATTTGAATCTGCGTGGTCTGCAAGCCAGGATGGGGATCAAACCCCAGGTCTTCACAATGATATTTCAGTACCTTAACTAGGATCCTTCGTTGCTGTATATAGTATTTTATAGTTGATCATTAGTAGCCGTCCATCCAAGGACTCAATCAATAACTGGAAAAAAAATTAATTGCTGTTTGTGTAATAATTTTAGTTGTTTGTTGTTTTAAAATACTTACAATTTTGCTTATATTCTTCTGTTTATTTCATTTCGAAAGAAAGTTTTTTAATAAGGTTTTTCGAAGCTTATTCGCCAAGGAAAATAGAAAAACCACAGTTAAAGTGCCTTACACTTGAAGCAAGCTATGATTTTAAAGTGTAACTATCTTCTTGCTGTAAAGAATTTTCTGCGCTTTAGAACGAACAAATAACTGAAATATTTAAAAAGTTATTTAACTTTTTTTTAAAAAAAATGCCAATTTGGCGAAATTTTTCCACGTAGAGGAAAATTATCAAAATCAATGCCTTATTCCCATTTCTTTGCAAATTTTTATGAGCCCATATAATGCAACATTGGAATTGGTTTCAAAATAAAAAAAAATAAGACGGCAAACTCTTGTCATTTTCTCAAAACTGTGACTTTTCGCCCTATTGACGTTTTGAGCCGTTTTCAGAATAAACATAGAAAACGTTGACTAAATATAGGCTAAACTTAAAATAACGGTCATGAGTAACTGTTGCTAACTCACATTAGTAATGAAAATAGCATATTCTTTGCAAAAAAGCATCATTTCATGCGTCAACAGTGTCTCCAATAACAGCCTTTTATTTACATCAGCCGTTCATCACCAGGTGTCTGTTTCAAAGAAATTTGGGTCCGTTAACGGACCCTTCACAAAATATCTATTCATAAAAACGGACCCTTCACAAAATAATTTATCCTTTAATCGGACCCTTCACAAATTTGTTTACCTTCATTATTGTTTTGTTTATCGAATAAACCCTTCCCAGGAAGGGGAGGAAAGAAAGACAAATGTAAACGTTATATAAGTTTTGTCTTCGGTAGAGGCATCTTCCTTCATTCGTCCGAAATGAATATTCCGCGTTCAGCAGTATAGGCTAAATACCAAATATTTGTATGTTGCATCTCTATTTTAGTGGCAGCAATTGTTGTTTATTTTTTAAAATTTAAATTTTTTTTATTATAATTTTACAGTGTTGAGCATAATCTTGTATGTCTTTACAATTTAAAAACTCCTATAAAACGTCTATTTTTTTCATTTATAAACTATGTGTAAATTTGTATAATTTAAAATTTGAAATTATTTTAAAATAGCTACTTTTAAATTCAGTTTCCCTTTACGGAAAAAAAGTCTGGTAAAATTACCGTACCGTGTGGTACTAATATTTCTTGGAAAAAGAAATTATAATGCTGGTAATAATAACTAAAATATATGATATTTGAACAGTTCCTTTGGTTAATTTTTCCGCTCATATGGCAACGGTTTACCATAAATTCTAGTTTTCAAAATTACATTTCTTACTACACATTTAGTAAAAAGTTCACAAAACCCTTCAGATCCTTCACAAAATAATTTATCTTTTAATCGGACCCTTCACAAATTTATTTATCTTCATTATTGTTTTGTTAATCGAATAAACGCTTCCCAGGGGAGAAAACANAGACAAACTAAGTTTCCCTAAGTTAAAATTCCAAATGTAGTATTCTAAGAAAATATTTCTACTTTTAGAAACATCGTGTGCGCATTCTTATTAATATTAAATCATTTTTTTTTTCTGTAAATAAATAATCGATTAATTTACGATTTTGTTACAAAATTAATTAGTAGGATTTTGTTTCCATTATTCGTCCAAAATGAATATTCTGCGTTGAGCAGTATAGGCTAAATACCAAATATTTGTATGTTGTATCTCTAATTTAGTAGCTGCAATTGCCGTTGTATCGAAATCTTGTATCTATTTACAATTTAAAAACTTCGTTAAAAGGTTTTTAGCAATTTTTGCAATAACAGGACCCTATTTGCACAAATTCACAAAGGCAGGACCCTGGTTGAAAGAATGTGACTTAACGCTTATTATATTCACAAACTACGAGTAATTTTTTCACAATTTTGCAAAAACGGACCTTTTACAAAATGTCTGGACAGACCCTTTGATTACAAAACTGTGTGTTAAACCTTAAATGCATAACACAATATGGATTTGTAAGATCTCATACATTTAGCTGTTTAAAAACTATATGGCAAAAAATGGTATTACGATATTTTGAAAAATTGCTTTATTCAATTTCTTTTTATTAAATGTTTTCATGACTTGTTTATCTTTCCTTTTCAGATAAGGAGAGACCCCCAGATGAAATAAAAGGTACGAAATAATATTTTATTTAATATTTTAATAGAGATAAACACAGAGACTTGTTTGGAGAGACGGCGTTAGTCAATAATCATATTTTTAGTAGAAAATTTTATTTAATATTTAATTAAGAATAAGGCGTTAGCGAAAAATAGTAATTTTCTGTTATAATATGGCATGGTTACCATTGTTTAGTATGGTTGCATGGAATAGTTTCATGTTTATTTAATGTAAATAAAATAGTTGTACAGTGCGCAAAAAAAAACAGACCCCCCTGAATAACTTTTGATCTAATGATCAAATCTTCACGTTCTAGGACTCCAACTGAATGGCTCCAGGGGGTGACTTAAACTATGCTAATTAATTAGTGCAGACGATACTTTAAGTTAAGAAGTCCAGCACAAAAACGTACTTCCTCTGAATAAACATGTCTTTTTATTCAGATTTCAAACCACCGAAATATAGGAGATAGCCACAATTTTGGAAATATGGTCTCCATAGTTTGGTCAGGAGAGAGATCCAAAGCTTGGACCCCCTTATGTAAATTTTAATTTTTCCCTATTTCGCCATATCTCCAAAACTTTTTATAATTGAAAAATCTTTGCACCCAATTATAAAATTCATTTATCCAAAGTTAAACTCACCCAAAAAATAAATTTTAGTAAATATTTATTATTTTTTTATTATTTTAATTTAATAATAGTTGGAAAAAAAATTTGAATTGTAAGGTATACAATTTTTGTTTCATTTCAAAGTGTCTAGTTTTGCATGGCAAAATACAAAATTTGAGTGAAATTGGTTGAGCAGTTTCTGAGAAATCAAATTTCTAAAAAAGTCGTATATTTTAAATTCTATTTCTCGAAAACTATTCAATCAATTTCTCTCAAGTTTGGTATTTGCCATGTACAATCAGATACTATAAGATGATGTGAACATTTATATAGATTGTAATATTTATAGATTTATTTATTTATTTATACTTACATGGAGTGTACAGGGAGAGTCAGAACAAGATTGCAAATCTTTACTGGGTAATAGAACGCATCTAGACCCGCAATATTTGTCCTAGAATGTAATTTAAGTTCATTTATTTTTTTAAAATAATGTTATTCGCCGTTATTCAAAAATTACATACGGCATTTATAAATTATATATTAATTTATGTCACCATTTCTCCTTTATAACCACAAACAATTACAAATCCCTCTTAAAATTTTAAAAATGATCTTAAACTGAGTTCGAATGTACCTAATGCTTCTTGAACAGATCGCATACACTACAAGCAGTGTTAATAATGTTGAAGGGCAACTCGGCATTAATGAATATAAATTTGGGGAATCTGGGCTGTTAAAAGCGATGAACTAGATTATTTATTTTTCTGGTATTTGAAAACGATAACAAATTACAAAACAATGAATGTTCTAGTTGCACCTTCGTCATCGTTGTATTTTTTAAGTGATCTAGTTACGCCACCGATGTTTTATCAGTATTTGCTTTGTTCTTGAGTAAGATGTTTTTTATTTGGTAAAACTGTTATGTTTAAGATTATTAAAAGTTGTTAAGTTTTTAACATTAATATTGGTAGTTTTTCCAAACAGAGTTGTATTTTACTTATGATCTTGTTCGTGCTTTATTTCAGTTGTGCTTTTAATCAGTTCTAGTTCGTCTTTTAACATGGGCCACTCGGTTCTCGAGAGATTAAAATGAATTTTCTGAAATATCGTGTCCATGGATGGGAAAATAAGAATTCAGCTTCTGTGATCCACATTGTGTTTATTAATCTATTCTGATATGACATAAAATTTAGTGAAGGGATGATAATATTAAGTTTTTTTGACAGACTAAATTTATAGCATCATTTTATTTACTTTTATGAAGTATATTATAATGTTTCAGCTTGGCACATTCTAACTTCATGTACCAATAAAATGCTTAAATTAATTTAATAATATGCTTTGCGTTTACAAGGAATAAAACAGAACTAAGTAATAAAGTTAATGTTCTTGTAAAATAATTTTTAAAAAAAAAGTCGTGATTTTGTGAATCATTTCAGCAATTTTCAGAAGCAACTTAATGTATTTTCAATTGATTTACTTCTTAAAATTAATGTTATTTGCTATTAATCGAAAGCTTTACGCGGCATTTATAAATTGTATATTAAAACCAGCACCATTTCTCTTTTATAACCATAAACAATATTAAACCCCTTTTAAAAATGATCTTCGTTTACCATTTTGAATTAATCCATTATAAATTATTTCTAAAGATCGAAAATGCCGAGTGCTTCGTGGACAGACCACATACACTCCAAGCAGTATTAATAATGTTGAAGGACAACTCAGCATTAATGAATATAAATTTGGAGACACTCGGTTCTCGGGGCATTAAAATGGATTTTCGAGAATATCGTCTGCGTGGATGTGGAAATAAGAATTCTGCTTGTGCTATCCTTCGTCTTGACTGTTAATCTATTCTGATATGACATAAAATTTAATGGCGCGAAGATAATAGCTTGATGGAATCTCGAATCATTTTTGATGATGAATTTTTAATGATCCAGAAAGAATTGGTTTTCGGAATTTACATACCAAGCAGAGAGTTATTCAGTTTTCCTGTTTGTTTTCTAACGCTTTTTATGCATTTGTGTTTGTTCGAGGGGTAAATTACTTAAAATTGCGTTTCACAGATAACTAGTTTTCTTGGACATAGAATGAGGCTGTAGTGCAAATTGCTTATCATAATTTAAATTGCATTGCAGTAACGATATCGAGTTTTACTTCTATTTGTCTTCTATTTGTTTTTCCTCCCTCT